GGGAACCAATTTCGCATGTGTTTTTGCATCCCTCCCATTTTTCTGGAAGATCTTTCTCTCACGACCTTTCTTCTTTGAAAAAGTTGTGCGACCGCTGCGATCATATGCTCCCATGTTGTCGTATAATGATGTTTGTAGTATACAAAGATGACGTCTTCTGGTAAAAGGTCGTTTTTTTCTTGGGGACAATGCGCTTTAGTTTGACTCAATTGTCTCAACTTCTACGTCATAATGGTTGGTGGAACGTTAACCTCCTGATTTTTCATGTTTCCTATAGCACAACGAGTTGTTCCGGCCAAGTTATCCTCCGATAATCTTTGATTCATTAAGATCAGACAACGAACATGTCCAATGTTTAGCAGTTTGAAAATTTTGCAGAACATTGCTCCAATGGAACCTCCAACGTTTGCCTTTTTGCCACATACCAAGCATTATGATGTTACATATGATCGCCGATATACAATGAATGCGATGTCACAAGGCCAACCAATGCATAATCGGCAACCAGTGTTGGTAGAATTGTAACTTCCTCAAGCGTTTGGACTTAGATGTGCTGTTGTAGACCTAGCCCACAGATGATGTCGCCTGCTTTTCAACAACCTCAACCTCCGAACAAGGGTAAAGCTCCTCCCGCTAAGAAGTCTCGGAATGGTATGAACTAGCGCCAGCCTTGATCCGACGAATTATCAGTAATTTTCGTATTTTAGATCGGCGTATTTTAGATTCAACCGATGGTGGGTTTCCGGGAATGTCAACGAACAATGGAATGATGATGGCTCCAGGATGTCTACCGCGGCCAATGCAATTGCCCCCTGATATGTCCCATTACGGTGGTGTACCGACTTCACAAATGGGCATGAACCCCGGCATGCAGTGCTATCCTGGGGCTTCTCCGAACGCCGTACCGACGAGTTCAACGTCTTCGGGAGCGAACACGCCGATGAACATGCCCAATGGGATGTTCCCCATCGGCGGCGTACCCCATAGTGCATCTTCCATGAACATGGGCATGCAGCAGCAAGTGAACGACAACAGTAAGCAAGCATCTCTCGCTTCCCACTTTCAACAAATTCCTCAAATCCACACTCATTCCTTTTCAGGAACACAACAAGTACCGGTTTCCACAGGCTTTCCCAACATGTCCAATGGGCAACTCCCTGCAGGAGAGCAACAGCCTCTGAGCAGTCCCCGAAATCAAGTGCGGATCAAAGCTTTTCGTCTTTACAAGCTAGTCACCCTTTTCTAGAATTACCTATTCCAGATGACGCAGAACCCTTATCAGCAATCAGGAAATCAGTTCGACATATCTCCTCAATGTCCCAAATGCTTATGTCTTGTGTCGGTAAGTATGGCAATTGTAGAGTAGGATAATATGAAATCTGTATGAAATTCACATCGTCTTGTGAGCATGAACCATTGGAAAGCTGTTCTATTATAAAGTCCAGTCATTTCATATGATCATGTGTGTCATTGCACAC